GTGACCGTGAACACTTTGCTTTCAATTGTAGGGTTATTTATACCATAAATGGTTAAGTTTAAACAGGACTGCTTAACATAACTTGTAGTATTATATATGCAACTAAAATGATTTTAACAAACATATGTACTGCACTTTTAATCTGCTGTGGAAAATTGTATGAAAATGAAATAATGTTTTTAACAGCGACATATTATTTTTGTTGAATTCTGAATACGTCGGCGCTCCAAGTCTAAAATCTTTTTGTTCTTATTTCCAAAATTCTTTCTCTACCTCATTTAATCAATGCAAAGCATTTTTAATAAAATCTATTAGAAGCTGATCAACAAACGTTCCCCTAAATGCAATTACGGATAAAGCCAAGGTCTGCATCTCAATCGCTGTTGCATCTACCACCCTAATGTTAATATGAAAGGGAAAGGAGAACCCTCTGAAGACGAGATGGGATTCACAGCTTATTAATGAGATGAAAGTCAAGGAAGAGGAGAGGAGAATGCTCTAATCCAGATCGTTTTGTACCGTCTGTCTGTTTTCATTTTAAATGAGACATTAGGGGATATACGTAATTGCATCCTTTCGGTTCACTCGCATTCTCTGTTTTTTTAGTTTGTCTGAATCTCTTAAGTATTTGGAAAACCGCTGAGACCTAAAGGGGGAAAAAACACAGCAGAGGGAGTGATACAGCGGTTAAAACAAACAAACAAATGGAGAGAAAATTAATGTTTTTCCCAGCTGTGCCAATTTTAAAACTCCCATCTCCCTAGGTGCTGTATTTCACTTAAACTGTAATATGCAGACAACAAAACACAAATCGAGGAGAGACAGACGCACAAATCTGTGACTCCAGAGGATGTTTTCTGGACTTATCTTAACCTTAACTGCTTATTCCCTGATCCAAGCCTAAACCTTAAAACACATATTAACCTTGATTTAATCATTTAAATGAGATGGATTTGTTTTTGTCCCCTATTAGGAAGAAACTTATTCATAATTTAACCTAGTAAAATGATTTACGCTCCCACAAAGTGAGAAATACTTGGAGCACACAAAAAAACACTAAGACGAGTGTCAGGCCATTTTACCTGATTTGAATCCAATAGAACACCAACGGGGCAATTTGGAGAATTCCCTTATGAAGAAAGTAAAAGAGCATCAGAGAGAAGGAAAAAATGCCTCTAAGGAACAGCAAAACAACTCTCCATAAATCAGTGAAACCCCTGAAAACACAAGTAAAAAATGGAACATCCACAAAGAGGACTGAGATATTTCACCGCAAATAAAGATATAAACTAATTTCTTTTGTATCTTATATTCACATAAGATTATCAGCGACGTGGTAAATAACCAAAGAAAGTCCAAAACACTTAGTGGCGACTGGTGAAATAACCCCTTGTACACTTTTCTTAACTTAAAAGCAAACAGTGACAGAGAAGAGTATGGCTGATAGACATATGACAAGATGGTCATTACATTAGAGGGTTACCAAGGCAACCCGAGCCTGACACATCTGCTAACAACAAGCTATCAGCTACAAAGTGATGTGCGATGGGCAAAATGCTGCCTGCATAGACATCCCTTTGGTTAAAACTCTAGTTAAGGCCCTCCTGTGTTACATGTGGAATACTCCCTGGTTTCCTGAATTTTGAGATGTTTTTAAGTAAGTTTCTATAATTATCAATTTAACAGTGTAAAGCTTTTTGCAGACTGTCAGGACAGACACTGTGTTTGTGTGTTTTTTGTTTTTGTTTGTTTTTTGTGTGGTCCAGATGCTGTGATTGTCATAGAGACCTAAATCTGTTTACGAGATTTCATCATGGGAGTGTTTCTTCCTCATGAGGGGGAACTCTTTAGAAACCCTCATGTGATACTGGCAGTGTGTTATGAATTACCATCATGCACTTATCTTGCTGGTTTCTGAATACTAGAAATTAATCCTGTTACACAATATTCTAGGACACACACACAGCGATCCACTATTTTGTATTCATGAAATGCAACCTAGTAATGCTACAACCTCTGTGCATTGCTATCTGGACTTTGCAGTCAGCAGGTTCTCCTGGCCAGGTTTAGGCCAAAATCTGGACCCCAACACAACAAATGTATCTCGGTGTAATCCAGTGGTTCTCAAACTTTTTACATCGTTCCCCACATGGCAGGAAGAAATATTTTCACGCCCCATCTAAACAAAACAATGACAGAAAAGAGCGGATCCATCTGACTCTGCCTCCGTTACAACATACTAGACGTGGGAGTAATAAACCGTTGTGGTGAAAAATAAGTGTTGTTACATTACCGTTCAGTTTGGGGGTTACAACAGAACATGGTACATTGATTGTTCTCACGTATTATCAGACGGGATTGTTTCAATAAACCAAGGACATTTTGACTGATAATTATTTGTATTCTTCTCTAACTGTACAGAGCTAAAACCTCCAAAATATCAGGAGTAGTTAGTCATTATCAGAGGTGTTTGTGAACTAAAAATCAGGAATGTGGGATACTGTTTGTCCGTGATTTGGACAGCCCAGTGCGTGCTCCCAACGAAGGGGAAACAAATTCTGTCGTGGATACCTACTTTGGCACGACCTCGGACAACAGATTCGCACCTTTCAGTACACTCTGCAGCTATCTGTTGCAGCAGATCCACATATTATTAACATAACTGACGCAAATGTCTTTATTCCGCCGTAAAAGTGATTCTGATGTTAAACATTAGTTCCGCATGACTTTTCTGCCAGGTGATTTGCGCCCCACCTGTCAAAACTCTGGTCAAACTCTTTGAGAACCACTGGTGTAATCTGACCAAAGAATGTGCTCCTGATATTCATCAGGCTTCTTTTCATTTTCTTTGGCAATATTTAGTATTGAAGTATTACATCAAAGCACTAGAGAGGGTTTATTTCTTGGACTATTAAGATATTACGCAGTGTCATTTAAACTCTGCAAGCTGCCAGAAACATTCATGTTAGGTCAATGTTTGATTCTAAATTGACAGTGAGATCGTTCATAGATTAGAGCCTGATTGAATGTGGGTTGTACTCTGAATTGTACAAGCCATGTTTGTGGTCAATACGAACTCTTATTTGCACTCGTTGACCTGGTAAGTCTGAAGTTATTGTTTTATGTATTGTTTTTTTAAATGATTGAACAAGTAGCAGACTGCCCATAACGTTATTTATTTGGAGGAAATCACTTTTGATTAGTGGTACTACAGCTCTTTCCGGACCTCGTGATTGCTGCCGCAAACATTTTGCTCAGATTGTGGCAGTTCTTTCCAGTGTGGAAACATAATGTAGGTCCATAGGGTTAAAACTGAGAAAATTCTGAAGTTCAGAGGTAATTTTTACAATGCAAATTTGTAGGGTTTCTGTCTATACAGGTTTTCTAATTATTGTCTCATGTGTCTACGACCTGTGAGCACAGTTAGAACTCTGTTTAAAAGACACATAAAAAAGTACTTTACATATTGATAAATGGCATTTTATGCGATCTTGAACTGGGTGCACTCACTTTTGTTGTATTTTGCTACCTTTATATGAATTCCCACATGCGTCTTTGTTAATGTAAACACCACCGTCTGAATTCTGTTCACATTCCTCTGACAATAAGTTTACTTTGACTTCAGTAAGTCTGCTAACGGTGAAAGGTTTTATTCTTGGCTGCACAATAGGTGTTCTTTAGGACACAACTTTTCCAAAACCATCGGTATCATGGAAATCATTCATCTTCAGTTGAAAAGAGAGCTTAGTGTCATTTCCTTGAGAGTTATGATATTAAGAAAATATCCACAATTCGGCATTTATACAAAACCACTAAACAGCTTTCAGTGCAATGTTACTTGAATGGGCTGTAAATGGTAAATGGCCTGTATTTGTATAGTGCTTTACACAACCAGTCATCCACCCATTCACACACACATTCACACACTGGTGGTGGCAGCTACATGTAGCCACAGCCACCCTGGGGCGCACTGACAGAGGCGAGCACCCAAGTCCTAACACTTACTTTGATGTCTTGTGCAGTTTGTTCACATCCATGCTCACAAGCAATACACACTACTTCTACCAAAGACTGCACCCGGCATAGAAAGCTAATAGATAACATTAACAACAACAATTAGGAGATGGATTGTATTTATTGGTATTTTTTGCAGTTTTCTGGCTTTGTAACAATGTTAACGCCCTTAAAAGCAATTTAAATCCCACTGTTGTCAGATTTAATAGCTTAAAAGGCTGGATTGCTATAATCTTCTGATTGATAATTGATGTTTTGTGATCAAGTATCTGGGATCCATCCAGGAATAATTGGTAGTACATTTGCATGCTGCACTTTTTAATTATTTTTAGTGAACAAGTGTATTTTTTAAATATCCCATGAAGAAGAACAAGTATTTGATTTAAAGTCTTCAGTTTGAAGAATAAACAGTATGCATAAATTTCTCTTTTTAAAAATGGGTGAATTTCTGTGTAGTTTGGAAGGATTGGTAGAAATAATTGGCACATATCTATTTGTATTGTTGGTAAAGGTCATAATTGATTTTGTGATCAAATTGTTAGAGTCAGAGGTAACGTAAAGCCTTTTTCTTTTCTGTGAATGGCTCTAAAATATCAGATTTTTACTTTTCAAGAGATTTCTTGTCATGTGGATGAAATTCTTACATGTTAGGCAATGGCAATCACCTCTGTAAGGACGGACGCTGGCTCCTTTTCAGATCTAAGACTTAATATCTGAATTCTGTTCTGTCAGCTAAAGCAGGCTGCTGTCTGTCCCTGTTAACTGAGACAGATCTTGGGTCTAGCAGAAACCAGCAGTACTGAGTGAAATGGGTACTGCTAGCCCGTGGGGGATCAAGCCTTCACCAAAGCTCTTTCTTTTTACAAATACAAAAACTAAACTCCATAACTTTTCCGCTCTACAGCTCCAAAAAGATTTACATACTATACTTTGGTTTATTTCTACTGTCACTGTTAATTTGTCTTCATCCTTACACTGGTTTGCAGGTGGAAACGCTAAGCTGCGGTACCAGATCACATCAGGAAACACAGGAGGGGTGTTTGATGTGGAACCAGAGGTGGGCACTATCTTTATAGCCCAGCCTCTGGACTACGAACAGAACAAACGGTAGGAACACACTCAGAGAAGAATCCTCCAAGCTTGCTGAACGATTGTCCATCCCTGACAAAGTTGAAACTTGTGTTCAGGTACAAGCTTCATCTTCTGGCTTCAGATGGGAAGTGGGAAGATTACACGACTGTGACAGTAAACGTGGTCAACAAGAATGACGAGGCTCCGGTGTTTACTGTTAACGAGTACTACGGCAGCGTAACAGAGGAGCTGGATGGTTCTCCAGTGTTTGTGTTGCAGGTACAGTCCAAGCTTACTAGTATTGTTTCTTCATATGACTAGTAAGAGAAGGAATAAACTATATTCTACATAAATATGTTTACTGATGCATTGCTGCTGAGTTTTGTCAGTTTATTTATTTGCCACTTTGAGCTACAAACATGAAAATAAATAGCACTACAGGCCAACAGAGAAGACGGTATTTAAGTTTGAGGTGAACTCTCCCTTAAACCTCTCACGCTTCTCAAAAAAAAGAGTAGAGGCTATGCAGCAAATAATGTCACAAAGGTTGTTTAAACAATGCTGTGTTGGTACTAAGAGACCCAAGATAATATTCCCCACAACATCACAGCACCAGCCTGAGCCACTCATACAAGACAGGATGGATCCATGTGAAAACTGACTCATCGGATCAGGCTATAGCTTTTCAGGTTTCTGTTGTTCAATTCTGGTGAGCCTCAGTTTCCTGTTCTTAGCTTACAGGAGTGGCTCCCGGTGTCTTCTGCTGCATGCACTTCTGCATATTCTGGTTGATAAAATTAGTTGTTGCGAGTTGCTGTTACCTTCCTATGAGCTCATATCTATCTAGTCAATTTGCTTTGAGCTCTGGCTGCTCTAAACTAAGTTTTCTTTCTTTCTTTATTTAGTTATTGTTTGTGGATCTGCATGATGTCACAGAGAGAAGATATATTCATACGAGCTTTGATTGTTACACCGAAGCCCCACCAACCATGTCAATCAGTAGAAAGTTGGCTTAAAGAGAAATGAGCCAAAGCAGCTTGTTTTAGACGCAGGGTGAACTTAAGGGGGTGAATAAGTGAGGGTTATTTTAAACAATGAATTATACAGAGTTACTCTGGTATAGCCCAAGCATAAAAATATGCAGCTGATACTGATCATAACAGGTTCTCTTCAAAGAAGCAACCGGAGACATTTTTTAACCAGCGCCTGTAGCTAATATTAAGCAGTATTTTTAATTTAATAACATTTAACAGCTGCCAGAAGAAAAAGAGAATTTTATTTTCTACCGCTCTCTGGTCCTCGGAGGAGTAAGATGTCTAAATAGAAAGTCTTAGGTAGACCACAACAGTAACACAGGTAAATCTGATGTCATTTCCCTTTTACAAACCCACGTAAAACTCAAACTGTTTCTTTTGTTTAACTGCACATTTGTTGATTATGTTGAAGGAGGTATTTGAGTTTTGTTGACTATGTGGGTTATTAAATTGTACATGTGTACACATCAAGTTTGGGTTTCACAAATGTCTCTAATATGTGGATTTAATACTCGTCTGCAGAAGCACACATACATTTTTGCTCTCAGTCATTCTGCAATTACTGTGTTAAGTTAAAGCAACTTTGGCCTGACCTGATGTTACTGCTGCTAATGTGTTGAAGATGAGCAAAATGTGCAGACAGAAGAGGGGGAGGAAAGGTGAGGCTTGGGGTTAAAAAGATGGCCCTTTGCCAGATTTAAATACCAGAGAGTACAAAGCTGCACAGGGCACTTATGGAGTGCTGTGAGTCGTGATATCACAACCAAGTCAGCAACGGTGTAAAAGCTCCGTGATTGTAAGATTGTTGCCTCGCCTGGTTCACTGTGCCTTTCACATTGTAGGTAACGGCAACTGACCCAGATAAGGACGCTGACCAGGAGGCCCTGCGTTACTCTCTCCACGGCCAAGGTGCAGACAGTGAATTCATAATTGATGAGGTCACAGGGAAGATCTATGCCCAGCGGACGCTTGACCGCGAGGAGCGCGCTGTCTGGCGTTTCGTTGTCCTGGCCACAGATGAGGGCGGCGAAGGTCTGACGGGTTTCACAGATGTCATCATCAATGTATGGGACATAAATGACAACGCGCCCATCTTCACGTGCGCTCCCAGCTGTCACGGAGAAGTAGCAGAGAACTCAGCAGCAGGGACATCGGTGATGGAAATGACGGCGACCGACCTGGATGACTCAGCTGTGGGGCAGAACGCTGTGCTCTCTTACAGGATTGTGGGTAGTTTAGATGCCACTAATGCAGAGCTGGGCGGAGTCCCCACCTTCTCAGAAATGTTTACCATCAATCCCACCACAGGCACCATCACTGTAGGCATAGGTGGGCTAGACCGGGAACAAGTTGAGTCTTACCTCCTGGTGGTAGAAGCCAGGGATGGGGGAGGGATGGCAGGAACGGGAACTGCTACTATTCTGATCAAAGATGTGAACGACCACGCTCCGAGGTTCACTGATCACTCCTGCCTGGCAAGGATTTCTGAGAACGCAGAGCCCAATGCAGAGGTGGGTGGCTGGTGTTGCTATCACAAAAACAAATGGCCTGCATTTGTATAGCGCTTTTCTAGTCCTTAAGGACCCCAAAGCGCTTCACACTACATTCAGTCATTCACCCATTCACACACACATTCACACACTGGCGATGGCAAGCTACATTGTAGCTGTGTGCTTCAACTCAGAATAGACAGCCAGCTATCTCTTACTTCTTTCATGTTGGCTTAGTGTCAGAATTACCACTCGCTCACCACTCTCTTGTATGTTGAAGGACCTGAGTTCAAGTACAACATGAAGCATTTTTCATAATGGCTTTTCTTTATTGTGTTTACACACTAACACGTTTTTCAGAAATCATTTTTTCCTCTCCTTTTAATTTCAGACAGAAAACGAAACATTTTCCTGCGCAGAAAATTTTTGCAGCTTTAATACAGCAAGATAAATGTCCCTGAGCAGTGAAAGGGACAAAAATTATTACAACCACTCAGTTTATGAGTGTGTTTCAGAGCCAACCTCCTTCAACTTTGTTTGGCAGGTTCTATACTTTTATACTTTTTGGCCACACCAGGGGCAAGCTGCACATCGAGTCCAACAGCAGCAACAATCCCAACAATTCCTATTGTTGGAATAGTTGCTGGTACAATTCCTATATTTAACATCTGCAACAAAATCATCCCAGATCTTTTAGTGTCGCCTTTTTTAGCTGACACTAAAAGATCTGAAACAATAAAACCAAAGGCATCAACAAGCACAGAACTACAACATTGTGGTAATTTGTTTATTAGTGTGTTTGAAAAACAAAAATAAATAACAAGAAAACATGCAAGTTTGGCTGCATTCCATTGTGACCAGATATAATTATTTTTTGGAATCAAACTTGCTGAATGGCTCGTGCATTATGAGAATGATTGGATTCTGGTATCTTCACAAATCTTGAAATTAAATTCACATTAAAACTTAACACCTAATATTCATCTGACAAGCTGCAGGTTTCATTCGTGTTTCTTACAGGAGATTATTAGACCAGCCATGACTTTTAATCAGACCTCAAAATTCATAGGTTCAGAGGTGAGTTCTTTGTTTTCCTAAGTGGAACTAGTTTGCAGTAGGGTTGTCTTAGAAAAGCAAGAAACTCTTGATCACCAGTTTTACATGAGAGATAGATGCTCAGAGGAGGGAACTGCTATTCCATTGTTAAATGGGCCTTTATGTCAACGTTTTCAGTACAATTCAGTTTTATACTGCACTGCATCATGGGAAGTCCTCTGTGTGGATGGGGCAGGGATATTGATAATCCTATTCTTAACAAATGAACACAGTCGGGAGTTATTTTTGCAAGCTTTCCTGTATCATATTGAAAATGATGGATAATTTGCTCTTGTCAGAAATGTGCAGAGACAGTCATGTCCATGTTTATCGTAACTACATTCAGAAAACCTGGGTTATCTTTATTGTTCGGAGATTTAGCACTTTGCTTTTTATTTTTTTATTGTCAAAATGTAAATAGCCAGTTCCCTTAACACAATGTAATTGCTGGTTGTAACTTGTTCTAAGGTCTTGGATCTTGCAGCAGAGGACAGGGACATTGGTGAAAACGCCCAGCTGACCTTTAGTGTTGTGTCTGGAGACCAGGAGCAAAAGTTCTATATGGTCAGTCACAAGCAGGAGCAGCGCGGCACCTTGCGGCTTAAGAAACGTCTGGACTACGAACGGCACAGCGAGCAGAGGTTCAACCTGACACTGAAGGTACGTGGAAGGCATTTCAATTACAAAGGCTTTCACTATTGAAAATGACTTTGATTCAGATTTCTCTCTAATTCAATGGATTCCTTTTCATAATAGTCATGTGAACCTTCAGCTGACAGTATGAAACATGTGAATGGAAGATGGAAAATTACACAGAATTTAAGGGGGGACAGGCTTTTAGAATTTTGTAAGCAATGATCATAAATCTCATAAACCAACCTGTCAGCCCTTCCATCAACAGCTAACGTAAAGAGTTGTGAAGGTGAAGACAATAGCATAAAGGCACTCTGACAGTGTCAGTGTCATATGTCAGTTACAGATAAGAATAAGAAAAGTCCCCCAGGCAAGTTTTTATACTGGTAGAACTGACAGAAAGTTGCTAGAAAGTAACCTCGAATTCTAAAAGGATATAAATGGATATAAGAGGAACCCTCTATCTGCTTTTTTATAATTGATGATTTAAAAAAAATTCACCAATGCTTTCGAACTGGCCAATTTGAAGACAACTTAAGCTGCTCTTCCTTTATGATATGAGCCAATCCAAACACTTCCTCCTACATATAGTAGTCTTAATTCTTTTCTTTGATTCTTAGAAGTTACAAAAATACAACCAAATTACACTGGTTGTGTCACATAAAGCCTTTCTACTCTTAACATTGCGGTTTTTGTGTATTTCCTTGGATATTTGCAGTCAAGCTTCTCACAGAAACTACTGCAAGATGCTAATTAATGTTTTTAACTTTCCCAATGGTGAATAATTGGCTTCATACTCTGATTTAATATTTTTCTTTTTACGCCTCCTTAACCTCTTAAAATTAAATTAAAATTAAACTCTACTCTTGTTTGGTTACCTCGTTAAGGGCAACAACATTTTTGTTGTCCTAAACAAACAATCCATAAGCCACATCCCAATAACAACTTTGTCAAAGTGATGCAAAAATCTCGTGGCATGACACTTCTTCTGTGAAAAAATTAATGTCTTTATTTGCTTTTGTCTGATTATTTTAGGTAAGCTGTTGGCTCTGGAAACTTGGAAGTCTGCTCGGGAAAATAATTGCAAAAACAATAACTGTTTAGTGCACTGTGAAATTATTTTGGCTCTAATTACAAGAAGTATCGAGTTCATGATCTTTGTTATTATGCATGTGTGTGATATTTGTGCGCTTCCTGTTTTAGGTTGAAGACCTGGACTTCTCCAGCCTTCTGCACTGTGTGGTGGAGGTGGAGGACTATAACGATCACGCTCCTGTCTTCATTCCACACTTCATGTCACTTGCTCCACTACCTGAGGACATTGTTGTGGGAACCAGTGTGGCCCATTTAGTAGCCAGCGACTCTGATTCAGGCCAGAATCGTGACATCACCTATAGCTTGTCAGAGGACTCAGACCCTGAGGGTCTGTTCACCATTGATCAGTCCGGTCTGCTGTCAGTGGCTCGGCCTCTGGATCGGGAAAGGATACCCCAGCATCACTTAGTTGTCATTGCGACTGATCACGGTGTTCCAGCTCTGACAGGCAGCGCCACAGTTCAGCTGCCTCTGTTGGATGTGAATGATAACGGACCAGAGTTTGAAGCAGCGTACTCTCCAATAGTCTTTGAGAATGTGTCTGGACCGCAGGTAGGTTTAATCCCATATAGCACACTGTACTGTTATGTATAGATTTTCATAAAGACGAAGCAAATGATAATGATTGACTGTGTGGTTAAAAAATCTTCAGTGAACAAAGCTACAACCCCTCATCCTTTTTCATCTTGTTTAGGTAGTAAGGTTGAACCAAACGTCGACCCTCCTTCAAGCTGTGGATCACGACTCGCCTGAGAATGGTCCTCCTTTCCACTTTGCAGTCCCCCCTGAATATCGCTACAGCAACGATTTCTACCTTCAGGACAATCTCAACGGCACAGCCACACTAACAGCTTTGAGGACATTTGACCGCGAGCGCCAGAAAGAGTTTCTCATTCCTATTATTATGAGTGACAGTGGAAGTCCAGCCAAGACAGTGACCAGCACCCTGACTGTGACCATCGGTGACCAAAATGATCATGCACACGTGGCAGGGGAGAAGAAAATTTTCATTAATAGTCACAGGGGTGAGTAGGCGGTGGTGAAAAAGTAAAACTGAATGCATAAATGTACTTGTTTTTCACCAATTAGTGTGTTTTCATAATATTTGGAAGTCATTATAATTCACATTTAAATCCAGGTATCTGCCCAGCCCGACTCTGTGCTATCAACAATCAGCTTGGGTGTCCTTGAGGCAAAACCACCTTTTTCTGGCCTTCACAGATTAGCTGCACGACACCGATTGGAGGGTTTATTTGAAAATTCCCTTTTGTCTTTAGGGTGATTTTATTTTACTTTGTCAAATTAAAAGTCTGTCTCTTTGTGAATTTAACATTATTTGACAGACGGAGGTCGGTGGGAAAGTTTTAAAATGTCGCTCAACCAGCATCTACTTAATAAAACTGTCAAGGCTCGGCTGTGTGGCAGGCAGGAGGAGGACCCAAACGCAAAACTCACAGACACGGGGATGAACTCAAAATCACAGCTTTAATGCTGGAATGGCAGAACATAGGAAATACAAAACTAAACTGGGAAAACTACAAACTAAGAGCTCACAGAGAGACACAGGGAGATCCACACAACATGAGGGACGACGTCACGCTGAACAGAGGGAGACGCAGACAGAAATACACAGAGGGTTAACGAGGGGAGTGGGAACACACGGGGAACACAGGTGACACTGATAACCATAACGAGACAGGGCGGGGTGAACTGAACACTGACGGGAGAGGTGAAACAAGGAGCACAGAGGTTCAGACAGGAGGAGAGAGAGCACGAGTAGAACACCAACGTAACAGGCAGGGGAAACACGGAATAAACACGAAAGGGGACGAGGGCTCATGAATACATAGAGGGCACACAGGGGGACATGAAGGGCAAGGGATCAAAACTAGAAGCCATGGAATAAATCACACAAGTACAATAATACGAAAATCACAAAGAACTAAAAACGCTGGGTCAGGAGACCCAGGACCGTGACAGTACCCCCCCTCAAGGGCTGGCTCCAGACAGCCCAAACACAGAAAAACAAAACCAAACAGAAACCAACCCAGGGCGGGCGGCGGGGGCCCAGGACGGAGGGCTCGGAACAGAAAACAAAGAGCACAGAAAACACCGGAGCCCAAGAAAACAACCCAAAACACAGAGCAGTTCAGGGGGCCGACCGTGCGGAAGGCAACGGCGGAGACGCGGAAACAGTTCAGGAGGCCGACCGTGCGCAAGGCAACGGCGGCGGCGGCGGCGACGACGGAGCAGTTCAGGAGGCCGACCGCGCGGAAGGCAGCGGCGGCGGCGACGACGGAGCAGTTCAGGAGGCCGACCGCGCGGAAGGCAGCGGCGGCCTCCAGTCCCAGGCGTGCCGGCCATGGCCCGGTGGGCGCAGGGCCAGACGAGGCGGCAGAAGCGGAGGCTGGACCAGACGAGGCGGCAGAAGCGGAGGCTGGACCAGACGAGGCGGCAGAAGCGGAGGCTGGACCAGACGAGGCGGCAGAAGCGGAGGCTGGACCAGACGAGGCGGCAGAAGCGGAGGCTGGACCAGACGAGGCGGCTGATGAGGGTGCTGGACCAGACGAGGCGGCTGATGAGGGTGCTGCGGCAGACGAGGCGGCTGATGAGGGTGCTGCGGCAGACGAAGCGGCTGATGAGGGTGCTGCGGCAGACGAAGCGGCTGATGAGGGTGCTGCGGCAGACGAAGCGGCTGATGAGGGTGCTGCGGCAGACGAAGCGGCTGATGAGGGTGCTGCGGCAGACGAAGCGGCTGATGAGGGTGCTGCGGCAGACGAAGGCTCTGATGAGGCTGCAGCAGACGAAGGCTCGGAGGCCGGGCCAGGCGAGGTTGCAGAGGCCGAGGCCGGGCCAGGCGAGGTTGCAGAGGCGAGGCCGGGCCAGGCGAGGTTGCAGAGGCCGAGGCCGGGCCAGGCGAGGTTGCAGAGGCCGAGGCCGGGCCAGGCGTAGCAGAAGCACAGGCGGATGTAGCTGGGCCAGGTGATGACGAGGCGGTCGCAGATGGCGGCTGGACAGGCTCCTCGGGCCCTCCAGCTGATGCGGCGTGAGGCTGAACGGGCCCCTCGGACCCTCCAGCGGAGACAGGAGGCTGAACGGGCCCCTCGGACCCTCCAGCGGAGACAGGAGGCTGAACGGGCCCCTCGGACCCTCCAGCGGAGACAGGAGGCTGAACGGGCCCCTCGGACCCTCCAGCGGAGACAGGGAGGTGCTGGCCGGGCTCACTGGAACCCCCAGCGGACGAGGTAGATGGCGGCGTGGGAGCCGCGGAGTCCTGGATGAGCTCATCCGAGCTTCCAGCAAGAGCTGATGTAGAGCCAGAGAGAATTGGGACCCCTGGCTGAATGTTAAGCTGGCTAAAAAACCGCACTGCTACGGGGAACTGGGCCAAAGGTTCGGGTGCGAGCTGAGCTGCTGGACACACGGGGACCTGAGCTGCTGGACACACGGGGACCTGAGCTGCTGGACACACGGGGACCTGAGCTGCTAACGGTGGAGAAGTAAATGACTGCACAGGGGACTGAACTGATGTCTGTAGTAACGGTGGTGGTGAGGGTGGAGTAGGTGGTGGAGTTAATGACTTCACAGGGGAATGAACTAGAGGTAGTGACGGTTGTGGTGCTGGTGGTTGAGTGGGTGACTGTGCTAAAGGAGGCTGCACTGGGGACACTGGAGACTGTTCTGGGGAAAGCAGGGCTGCAGGAGGCTGCACTGGGGACACTGGAGACTGCACTGGGGACACTGGGGACGACACTGGAGACTGCACTGGGGACACTGGAGACTGCACTGGGGACACTGGAGACTGCACTGGGGACACTGGAGACTGCACTGGGGACACTGGAGACTGCACTGGGGAAAGCAGAGCTGCAGGTGACTGCGCTAGAGACTGCAGTGATGGTTGTAGTGGAGGTGTGACGGGTGGAGGAGTGGCTGAAGTGGCTGCGGGTCGGGCGGCTAGTGGCTCAGCTACAGAGCATATTAACGGCAGGGCTATGGGTTGAATGACTGACTGAGTAGCAGCCTGAGTGGCTGGGTGTAGTGACGGTTGTGGTGGAAGAGAAACAGGTGGTAGTGTGGATGATGGAGCTAAGGGTGACTGAGTGGCAGACCGAACTGATGACTGAAGCGATGGTAGAGGTGGAAATGGAGCTTGTGGTGGAGTTAATGGCTGAGCTAGCGGGGACACAGGAGACTGAGCTGCGGGTGGCGGCGAGGGAGCTAACTGAGCTGCGGGTGGCGGCGAGGGAGCTAACTGAGCTGCGGGTGGCGGCGAGGGAGCTAACTGAGCTGCGGGTGGCGGCGAGGGAGCTAACTGAGCTTCTGGCAGCACAGAAGGTGAATTAGAAGGCCGAATGTCCGGCTGTGGGGTGGCGCGTCGGCGGCGTGAATGCCGTTTCTTTTTTGATGATGGCTCTGACGGGCCGAGCGGCTCCACATCCGGCCCTTCAGGCAGGTGGGTAGTAGCAGCTGGGGGATGAAGGTGGAGCTCGTTGCGGATTAAATCCTGTTCGAGTGGGTGGAGCGCACTGAGTAGCCAGGGAAGACCAGAGAACAAGCGCTGTAGCTTGGTTTCCACAGCACGGCGAAATTCCTTCCCCTCATGTTCGAGCCACAGATGCAGGAGTCTTTCCACGGAGTAGATTATGTCCAGACGCAGTTCTTCTGGTGGGTTGAGTGCTGCTGGGTCCATATCTGGTGACGTCGTACTGTCAAGGCTCGGCTGTGTGGCAGGCAGGAGGAGGACCCAAACGCAAAACTCACAGACACGGGGATGAACTCAAAATCACAGCTTTAATGCTGGAATGGCAGAACATAGGAAATACAAAACTAAACTGGGAAAACTACAAACTAAGAACTCACAGAGAGACACAGGGAGATCCACACAACATGAGGGACGACGTCACGCTGAACAGAGGGAGACGCAGACAGAAATACACAGAGGGTTAACGAGGGGAGTGGGAACACACGGGGAACACAGGTGACACTGATAACCATAACGAGACAGGGCGGGGTGAACTGAACACTGACGGGAGAGGTGAAACAAGGAGCACAGAGGTTCAGACAGGAGGAGAGAGAGCACGAGTAGAACACCAACGTAACAGGCAGGGGAAACACGGAATAAACACGAAAGGGGACGAGGGCTCATGAATACATAGAGGGCACACAGGGGGACATGAAGGGCAAGGGATCAAAACTAGAAGCCATGGAATAAATCACACAAGTACAATAATACGAAAATCACAAAGAACTAAAAACGCTGGGTCAGGAGACCCAGGACCGTGACAAAAACAGCCTTCATCTACTTTTTAAAGCACATTTTGAACTTTGCCCTCAAACTTTTCTCTCTCTGTAGGTGACTCTCTTAGTGCCAGCTAATTAATTCCTAATCAGTGAGCAGTAATTAAAACACACAAACAGACACACACACACTGTGTTTGTGTTTTTCACCTCCGCCTCAACTCTTCCATTGTCACTACATCATCATTCCCCACATGATCACTATAATTACACTTTAAATGTTTATTCTCTGACAGCGTACTGCGTTTCTGGTCTGTCTGAACTCAGGCAGTGAATCTCAGATTTTTAGTCCCAGAAAGCGTCCATGTAGTTTTCAGACTTACACAGGCTTCACGGCACACTGCGTTGTCAGTTAGGTTGAGTTATGCATTAGAAGTACACGTCAGGCAGTTAAGGCCTTGCTGCCTCTCTGTTGATAGGTACAGTACGTCGCTTTTGTTTATATGCTTGCACTTGGATTAGCAATGCTTCATCTTCTTTTGCCATTCAGAGCTACAAATGCACATTTCAGTGGTTTTGAACTCTTCTCAAAAGTTAAGTTTCACAAAGACAATCCAGCTAAAATTCAACATGTCAAGGTCTGCCTTTTAAATTTTGAAGGGTACCCTGTGAATAATTCCCACATGGTACAGTGTGAGGAATTGGAGGAGAAAGAGTAATGACAACAACACTTCTTTCTACTTGATTATAATCATTATGCATTCAAACAGCATTTTCTCTTTTGCATTTCTTTCTCCCAGTGTCACCTGCAATGTCACTTCTCAGTTTTGCTGAGACCTGAGTGTCTTTGGATATTTTGCTGTTTCTGCTGTTTTTCACTATGTTTGTACATTGTTGATTTTGTTTTCCTGTGTTTGAAAAGCTACTGTTTGTAGTGTTGTGATTTCAAGGCTTTTCCACTTTTTCTTTATTCTAATGAATGTAAAACACATGAAGCACACACACTTAAACACATGTACAGTATATATCAATCCAAAAGCAAAAACAGAGGGTTATCCTTTAATTCTCCGACATATTTAGTGCTGCTGAATCATTCTCACGCAGACTGATTAACGGATGCATTTTCTCTTTTCAGGCCGTATGCCAACTACAGTGCTCGGAAAGGTCTACTCTCCTGACCCAGATGATTGGGACAACAAGACGTATGTCTTTGAAGGACATGTGCCAAGGTAAATTAAAACAAATTAATTCAATGGGTTAGCAGTTTCTAATCAGAAATGTGTCATAAGCTATTTTAAATGAGTGCGAATGATGGCAGGGCATCTACTCTTTCCAAGAAATGTCTAACATCCTGACGTCAGTGATGCAGGAGTTTCTGTGTGCCAGATTACTTCTTTCATACCCTGAACCAAGTTGCCTTTTACGGCTAATCAGCGGCACCTCCTTGTTTTTTAGTCGTTAGATTGATTTAGACATTCAGATAGTGCAAAGCAACAACTCCCGGAGCGAAATATCCATCTTTGTTTATTACCATCCTATTTTTCTATTACCATTACCATCCTGTCCAATTTTCTTCCTCTGATTCTATTTCCTCAATGCCTCTTCTCAATTTCTCTTTCCATTTTTGTTGTTAATGCATGTGTGTTTTCCTGCCGTCGGATGACGATGTTGTGTTTGTGCCAATACTCTGCTTGAGAGTTTCACTTGCTAAAAGTGACACTGAGCCACAACGCTTCGCACTTTGACAATCTCCCACACACATGCACAGACAAGTCCCGAAGTGACACTCCGGTACCCTATGACACCTTCGTCTTCATCTTCCATGCTGTGTTGAACTCAAAATGACAAACTTTGCTACTTTTTCTCTCAAAGTCAGAGTTCAGGCTTTATGAAGGACTGGGTGCAATATAAGGTATCAGAACTTCACGACAGCTCTCATCTCTTCATGGTTCAAACCCGACTTAAGTTCAGAACACACCGTTGTGCTTTTCTTAATACATATCATACTATAGCGCACTCACCTCTGCTTTTAGAGTTCTGTGCAAAAGTCTCATATTTTGCTTAAAATTAGACAGGCTTTCATGTAACATTGGACACTGGTTGCTTTTTCACTCATTTTTAGTCCAGTCCTTGTACCTGGCCACATAAAAGTGGCTCCTAACTTAAGGGATGAATTGATGTTGTGTCTACATGTTGTGTCTCTTAGAAAACTAAGCAGAGGACTCACTTTGTGAATAGCAGCCTGTTGGTTATACCAAATACCGACTTTTAAGATTGTTAGAATTGTGCAAACTCTGTTTTTGCCTTATACATGTATGTTTGCAGACTAAATCTGTTTCCCATTTTTCCAAGCAAAATGTGGTGGAGATGAGGGGAGGTTCAAGACCTACTGTGTGTTTCTATTTCAGTTCACCAAACAGTATTTTCAGTGTTTGGGTGTGGATGTTCTACTGTTTTCTACTGCGTTGTTTAGCTAAACAGTGCGGGGGAAAAAATAAGTAAAAAATAAATGTTCTGGTGGAACAATGTTTTCCACAAAGTGGAGGAGTACAAACATACTCTGGACGGGGGTACCAACATATATGCAATCACATGTTTGTCTAACAAGCAATAACTAATAGGACGATGTGTTAGATAAACAAAAAAGTTGAAATCCAGTCGCTACTTTAGCATGATTTCTAAATAAAAACTCACTTTTTTGCCAAATGTATGGCCAGTGGTTAAAATGTTTTGAATTTCTAAAATAAACAGATGATAAAACAAGATAATAGTTTAAATCGTTAGCCAAACAGAACAAACAGAACCAATGAAATAAGTCTTAAAGTTGTGAATAGATTATTGAAATTGAAAGCTAGGGCTGGTTAAAGTGTTTTTTGATGAAACAATACAAAGTATGCTGAGTAAGGCTGTCGAAGCTGTTATATTTTGTCAATGGTCCTGGCACACGTTTTGCACAGCCGGCTACACAGAGAGACCTGTGCTGTTTGTGCAGCTTGGAGGATTACTTGTTTAGATTAAATTTTAGTTGTTAGTTGTGATTTTCTTTCATTTTCATGCCACATTAAGGACACCTGAAGTGGTGATGCAAGCACTAAGATATCAAACTAATTCCAGCATACAGCTGGTCTGCCTGCCAGTCCAGGGATGATTCAGTTTTGCTCGTTTGAGTTGGGTTAATGATCTCTAGGTGAGAGATGGGGTGACGTTTTATGTAATGTGTATGTAGACACAGTCATCTGGGGTAGCATTGTGCAAAATGGTAAGACACCAGAAGAAAGACAAGTGTTGGCACCAGAAACAACCTGTAACAAAATAGTTCACATAAGGGTCAATAGAATCAGGTTTCAGCATATTCAGATGTACTAAATGAGGAACCACTGATAGTTAAACCAGTTAAAACAGTAAAATTGTCTTTCAGTGATGTCAATCCTGGAATTAAGTGCTAGACCTAAGACGTGATGAATGCCACAGCATGTGCTGTAAAATGAGTTAAAACAGCTCTTGTCTCCACAAGTGGTTTATTATTTGATTTGCCAAGGTTCTGCTTTGGATTTCCTCTCTAATTAAACTTGAATGAGCTCATTTACTGTACAAAGGGAGCATGGAGACAAGGACCAAGCAAAATTGCTTCCTTGCATGTCTTTGTGCCTATTAGTCAGTCTCATTTTCCCCCTTGCCTCCCTCTCCCTAATGCAACGTCTCTGCTCACTTTCTATTATTGTCCCAGAGGGCAATTGATTAACAGAGTAAACACTAAAATCCAGAATAAAAGTCCAGGCTGAAAGGGATGAAAGAATATTTATTTTGGACTGTCTTCAGCTTGGACAGTTGTATCAGAAGTGCAGCCAACTGAAAGAGGAAAAAGTGTGCATATAATTTGAGCTTTTATGTTAGGTAACATATTCATAAACTGTTTCATTAATTCACACTTTTTACGTAATATTAGAGTAACAGTTTTGTATATAGGAGATCACAGTTTGGTATGCTGATCCGTGTGCCAGCAGCATACCAAAACAATCATGTTGGATGAATCAGTGAAATTCCAGATTATGTTTACTTGCAACATTTCTGTAAATTGAATACCATTGTCACCGATGTTCCCTCTAAGCTGCGCGGGTGCGCAATTGCGCATTGCTGGCACAGTCTCTGCGCACAGAAAACCTGCACAAAAAAAATCGAACCTGAATTGAAATTAAAATTAATACATTAACATATCACAACAATAACATCATCACTTCTGTTTGGTATGATGCCATTAAATGTCTTTAACAGCGTGTGTTGTTGCAAATACCTTCTCCGTGACATGTTATTTACAATTTAGAAAACCTTAAATTTTCTAAAGCTTTTACTAAAGTCTGACTTTTCTAATAACTCCTTTTTGGAGTATTACCTCTTATCATAGCAAATAAACATGTTAGAAATTTGTATATGGCCCAGTCACACTCAAGTAAAAACGAGGACAATGACTGGGGAAAATCAGTAGTTGTGTGGTATTTAATATTTCTACGTTCAGTGACAATTTACAAGCAGTTACGATGACGCGCTGGATGCCCAGAGGGTGACTATCCGACTCCCTCAGTCAGAAGGAGATTCCACTGTTGACGATTTATCTCGGTTAACTGCTTAATTTGCAACTTAAAACCATTCAATCATGAACTGATAGCAGGGTGACTTTGTCTTAACGCTGGTTCGTTTTGTTTTCACCATTTCAAAAACAACAAGGTCACAAGTTTAGTTGTGTGTTCCCTCCAGCCACTGTTTTCCCCAGTGTGATTGCAGCATTAGCCAGCCTGCAACGAGTCTGCCAGTATTTAAAATAAAGAATCCAACTTCTAGTTCCTGCTATTTGGTATATTTGCCATTCCATCGGATTAAAGCTACCTAAGGACATGAACTACAACATAATTCTTTAAATACTGTGCTGTACACTATACAAACCATTCAGTCATACTTTCCAGTTAGCTATTTAACCCACTGATAACTGAAAATTACAGGTCTTTACAAACTCTCAAAGACATAAAGCCATGTGATCAGTGTGCCTCTCCATTGGTGAATCCTATAGATTCAGCAGCTTGAGACTGTGTAGCGCAGTCAATGAACCGTGTTTACCTGCACTGAAATGTAATGCTGCAAACACATCATTCAGTCTTAGGTGATTGTGTCAGCTGTAGCTAGGAGGTTGGTGCATTTGTTAGCTACTTGAATGACTTCCACCTTCACAGAATGCATTATATTACTAGTAATTACTTCTTATATAACTGCACCGGTTAGCAGCTTGCTTTTGAGGGATGTTGGCTGAATACATGAAAGACAGGTTTTCATGTGTAGTTAAATGAGGGTGACAAACTTCATCACCCCTGTTGACCGCTCGTCTTATGTGAAATGGCAGAAAAGCATCTGAATGGGTTCCTTTTCTGATTTGGGTACTTGTGTTTTATTTCTTTCCATCAGTTACTTTATTCTGAACAAGCGAACTGGTTTCCTGATCATCAAAGAGAACGCCCCACCAGGCACCTACCAGTTCCAGGTTCGGGTGTCAGATGGAATTTGGCCAGATGCTGTCTCCACTGTTACCGTACACGTGAGGGAACTCCGAGATGACGCCATCTACAACTCGGGGTCACTTCGCCTGGCAGGTAAGATTAACTCTGCAGTGACACGTGAACATGCTCCCTGCTGTCTGAGCCTCCAAATGAGTAGTTCACTAGTTCTCGTAGCGTCTGAAAGTAACTTTCTTGACTTTCTGACCAAAACATATTGTAAAAGGAAAAAAGGTCTACCAACCTACCATGTAGCCAAAGCAAGAACATGTGTTTTGTATCATATTCAGTACATTTGTTTGAGAAATAAAAGATGAAATTCTCAGGCACAAATTTATTGCATGCACTAATTCTCTAATCAGCTTGTTTAGGTTAGGGGTGTGGATTGATTTGCTAGGATTAGGCAAACGTGTTAGACTTTGGTAATGGCTGTGACTCATGAGATGGAGTGAGTTGTCCACCATTTGGAATGTTGGGGGATCAAGTTCCCCACTTACTCCAGCCACAAACTCTATATTTTGTCTTTTATCTGGTTTTTAATTAATGTAACTGTGACCCGAAGTTTAAAAGTATGTTGGATTGGTGCTGTTGGTCAAATAAATCTTGTAATGACCAGATATTGAAATATCTATGGGTTTTTTGTTATTTGTAAGGTACAAATGACTTCTGTCACTGTCTCTGAAGCTAATAGTTCACTAATTATGCAGTATATAAAACAGTAAATATGCATCTTTCGGCTTGGTACAGCAACTTATTTACCGATCAGAAAGTCAGGGGATCAGTCCTGTGTGAATGTTAGAAAGCACTTAGGCATAGAAGCAATGTATTAGGGCTGCCACGATTAGTCGACTAGTCACGATTATGTCGACTATTAAAATCGTCGACGACTAATTTAATAGTCGACGCATCGTTTGAAGCTTTGTAAGATCACAAAAGACGCAGGAATAAGTAGCAGGATTTAAGAGTGTAATAACGGACTGAAACAGAAGATGGCAGCACTGCGTGTACAAGGATGCCAGCTGCCGTTAAACCCCGAAGAAGAAGAAGTAGCTCTGTCCCAGAATTCATAGCGCAGCCCAGCTCAGTTTCCAACAATGGCGGCAGCTACTTAGTTTTAATATTACTCTTATTATTCTTTCTGGGTCACAAAATAAACGTTTAACATATTTTCAGGCGAGAATGTAGCTGTGTAAACCTCAAATATCTGCTCAGTTTATCAGGACACCACATATTTTCAAAAGCGCTCCGACGTTTTCGGAGACGTCTGTTACCCACTAGCTCGATAGCTAGCCGGGGGCTAGGTCACTAGAGCCGGTGAGAACACCGGACTCCCGGCAAACAGTTTTCAAACCCACCGCTGTCTTTCGCTACTCAGGTTAAACATGATATATAAGTCACTTAGATAACTTAAAAATGTTATTGTTTGGCTTTTTTAGTATTTTATTTGTTCCTGAGTAAATCGGTTTGGCTGAGATTAAAGTTATAGTTTTTACACAGCTGAATAAACGTCAAGCAGACAGCTGATTATCAGAAGTGTGAGACGCTGGAGAATATACTCCGGTGTCCTGTTATATTTTAGAAAGCAAGGAGTTTATTAAATTTCACCGAAACAATCTGCAAATTTCATTAAAAATTAATAAACTACCATCTTGTCTTTATTTTTAGTTAGCACAGACCTTAAACACTTAAAGCTGTAAGCTAATGATAGTTATATAAGAGCAGATGCTGCTGGTGCAATAAGCTGTACGTTTTATGTTCAATGGATGCATAATCTGATTAGGCGACTAATCGCAAAAATAATCGGTGACTAGTCGACTATCAAAATAATCGTTTGTGGCAGCCCTACAATGTATGAATGTGTGTAACTGGGTGAATGAGACCTGCAGTAGAAAGAGCTTTGAGTGCTCAGCAGAGTAGAAAGGTGCTATCTAAGTCCCAGTCCAGCACCATACTTCCTGTCTTGAATAAATTCAGTGAAGATGAGACAATGTGTGCAGAATGCTGTAAATCACAATTAAGTTAGAGCTGTGAACATTATACCCTGGAGAGTATTAACTTGATCTCCCCCTAAAGAGACTATAAATCCATATGCTTCTGAGTCTGCAAAAACCTGTACTTGACTAATTTACACTTGAGCTTTGGGGTTTTTAATTTTCCACTAAGTTGCATCAGTTTTGTTACAACATATCAAAGTACGTGACACATTTCATTATGACCTACCAAGCTCACATTTCCATCTTCGCACTTGTCATCAGCCTGCATTCTTTCTCGCTCTGATTGATGGTCTGTGACAGTCACACTCTACATTACCTACAGTAACAGGTAAAACCTATATTAATACCAACTAAATAATATTTTGGGGAATATGCTCATTATTTGTAGACTCATCTCCAGGCATACAAAATGAATGCAGGCTGATTACTGTTTGTTTCCAGTGTTTCCAAAAATTCCAACGCTCCAAGGTAAAGATGTTTTTTTAAGTGAAAGATTACGCCCATTATTAATTCCTCTCGTCTGACTCGTGGGATCTCAGTTGTTGTCAGTGCTCGCACAGAGAAGCCTATTTCCATTACTTATGCTGGTAAAATAATTAGTCGAGGTTTTGCTCAGCCAGCATATTCTCTTCACATGTTCAGCAGCATCCATCATTACCTGATGTACGCCACATCGGCTGTCTGCTCAGAATTAAATTCGCTTTAGAGAAATGGGACATGGCTGAAGGATTTTTATGATTTCCGAGATATTGAAATAGAAGCAGACAGAGAGGCCAGCGGATGCTCTCCGAAGATGAGAGGAGAGCAGAGGGAGAGAAGGAAGAAAAGTGTGGAAGCGAGAGTCGAGCATAAAAGGATTTTCTTCTTATTCTAAAAGAAGGTTGAGATAAATTAATGTGCACAGAGAAGGCACGGTGGAGAACAGCTGGCACACACATTCCAATATTTGTAGAAACGTAGACTGTGTGTTTTTTAAGATGAATAATGGAAACTGAAATGAAATAATTGCACAATTAAAGTCTCCATGTAGTTATTTGTTTTTGTAATTTTCACTCGTTTAATTTAGAAAAATACACTTAGATTTGTCAGCAACTTCTCCCTGTAGGGTGCGCCTTCACTGAAGATTTTTAAATGGTTCCACTGTCATCAAAGGGCTCTTAGCTGTAGAGTGCATTGATTTAATAGACCCTGGTTCTATCATAGGGACTTGAATTGAGAGCCAGAGAGCACCAGTGTCAGACACCACTCTGAATACTCTGTCAAAACTACTCAAATGCTTTTAACCTGCAGTTCAGCAAGGAGCAAACTCACGAAACATGTAAGTTAGTGGTTTCATAACCAAATGTAATACAAGGATTAATGACTCTGAGATCATCTCGAGTTGCAGACTGCACACTGGCAACACAGGTGTGTGTGTGTGCGTGTGTGCGTGTTTGTGTGTAGGATATGCAACCGTAATTTCCAGGTTTTTTTTGGTGCTTTGAAGTAAACACTCTCATTGATTCACAGTCTCAAGGATTATGAAAATATTCTACTTATAGCATTACTTACACCCTCCTTGACATTTTAAATCCCATTTCAAGAACAAATGTGGAATTCAATAAGGGTGCACAAAGAAAGGACTAGTTAAATCTGCCTTGTTGAGATTAAGGCTCCCTCTCAGTCCCCCTGCTCCATTTCTCAATATTGATGGAAAGGTAAAAAATGTAGTAAACAAAAAGTCCTTGAAATGTCCACATAACACAAGCAGAGAGTAAAATGCATGGTGCTCAGGGGGGAGCAGAGTGCGAAACACACGATGAGTAACTGCTTAAAACAAGCTGATGCAGTTTTCCAAACATGAGGACTTTATAAACTATTCCTGCCAGGAGAGTTGTCCTTTGGCAGATGCGTTGTTGAGAAGTGCGAAAGTCCTCGCTCTCTCTCTTCTCACGTCTGTCTACGCTCCAGGGTGCCTGTATTGTGGGATCAATATGCAGAAATTGGGAAGATATATTAGTTTGTTATTATATGTGAGATTCTGGAGACTTCCTTCACTGATCACACTGTAGTCATCTAATGCTGCCCCAGTGAATGGAGGTTGTTGTTCCACGAAAAAATAACTAAAATTCAATCATGAAAGTGCATTTTCTGTTTAATGAACCAGATAAGTAGGATAGGGAAGGTGACGAGGTCTCATACAGCAGGCTGCCACGCTAACAACACTTCCACATCCATTTTCTGAATTAACTCATGACTTTTTTTTTCCCAATTAAAGAGCCTGAAGAGCTGATAAACCTGATATCATTAGATTGGCTCTACTTATGCTGGAAGAATTTAAATTTAAAAACTGAAAATGCTATTACACATTAAGTGTTTAGATGTTTAGCATTTAAAGATGAAAAATGAAGAAAAGGTACAGTCGATTCAGACAGAGTGTAGTGAGATGATTGCACGTGAGAGATAGTTGCAACTGACCCTCTTGCATATGCATATATAGATGCAAAATAAAGGGAGGAAAATATTTAAATCAATCTAGCAAATTGCTTCACTCACATTTGCAAAATGTTTTACTAATTGCACCGGCATTTACCACCCTTAAAAAAACGGGGGAGGCATAGCAGAGATTTAGATGTGTGTGCTTGAAGAGGCATTTCTCCACTCGGGTCAATTTATTTGGAATGCCAGACAGAGATGTGATAGAAATGTAGAGATTACCAAGCCATCTAATTGCAAGTTTGCTCAGTGAAGTCAGGAATGACCTGGAAGCTCCAACCAAAAGGAGCCATGCAATAGCAGTAGCAAAAAACATCCAAATCTTCGTTTTTTTGGCATCGTGTTCTCCTCAACATACTGTGGCTTCTGTGACAGGAATTTCACAGCCTGTACGATGACATTCAGAGCAAGATGGCTAAACAACAGAGAGAAAATGTTGCCGTTGGACCCTGAAAAAAAAATTCAGGCCCTGGATGGACATCAGGCATAGGAAGTCTAAATAGCAGCCCTGTTATGTATTGAAATAGTTTGAGGTTGTTGTTTTTTGTTTGTTATCATCAAACCTGTCTGATCAATCCATTTACATTTATAATCTCAAAGATATTTCTCCTTAATAAAGTTTTGTCA